CGCCTGCCGCGGCTCGGGGGGGTGGCGGCCGAGCCGGAGGAGGCCGGGGACGAGCCGGAGGCCAACGAGCTGGTGGGTCCCGAGCTGACGTCCTGCAGGAGCGCCCAGGGCCTCCTCATCCCGCTGGGCAAGTCCTCAGGTGAGGCCCTTGCCAGCATCTCCCATGTTGGCCTGCACAAGTTAGCCCCGAGTAAGCAGGGCCTGCTTTCCTCCTGTTCACCTGTGTGTGGAGTCTCTGGTGTCTTTTAGCAAGGTTGGGCTCATGCACGCACCTTTGCTGTCATAGGAGAAATTTGGGGGTTTCTGGCCAAATTAGAGGGGCCTGGAACATCTGCCCTATGAGGAGAGGCTGAGGGAGCTGGGCCTGTTCAGCCTGGAGAAGAGAAGGCTGAGAGGGGACCTGAGCAGTGTCTAGAAGTACCTCAAGGGAGGCAGTGAGGAGGATGGGGCGGCCTCTTTTCACTGGTGGCCACCGACAGAACTAGAGGAAACGGCCGGAAACTGAAACACCAAAAGTTCCCCAGGAACTTAAGGAAAAATTTCTTGCCAGTGAGGGTGCCAGAGCACTGGAACAGGCTGCCCAGAGAGGTTGTGGAGTCTCCTTCTCTGGAGATCTTCAAACCCGCTTGGACGCAGTCCTGTGCCACGTGCTCTAGGTGTCCCTGCGTGTGCAGGGGTTGGACTAGATGGCCTTGAGAGGTCCCTGCCAACCTTAAGCATTCTAGGATTCTATGAATAGGTGAAGGAGCTGAAAAGTTTGCAGAGAGGATGGAAGGTGCAGTTCCTTGTAAAATGTAGCCAAATCCCAAACAACACCTGGGGTCATGGGGACGCGCTGCGCGAGGACGTGCTCGGCACTGCAGCCTTTGCAGCTCCCTGCGGGATTTTGCCCTCCTGCTGTGCCTTGCAGAGAGCCGTCTGGAGAGGAACAGCGTGGCCGCCTTCCTGCTGCTGGTGAAGAACTTCATCCAGAACCACCCAGTGAACCAGGAGAGCCTGGTGCAGTGCCACGGGCCGGCCATCATCGGGGCGCTGCTGCAGAAGGTGCGTGGGGCCGGGCGGCGCGATGCCCCGCGGCACCACGGCCGGGCTGCAGCCTCTTCCCTCTCCACACACAGGTCCCCAGCCCGCGGCTGGACATGAGCCTGCTGATGGCCTCGCAGATGCTCATGGAGCAGGTGGCCTCCGAGGGCAGCGGCCTCCTGCTCCACCTGCTCTACCAGCACCTCCTCTTCGATTTCCGCATCTGGAGCAACAGCGACTTCGCCGTGCGCTTAGGTGAGAGGCCGGAGCTTCTCCAAGTACCCGCCGGCTCCCCCGGGCCACCCGCCCGACCCGCAGCGTGGGCTCTGCTCCACAGGTCACATCCAGTACCTGGCCAACATCGTCAAGGACCACAAGCAGCGCATCCGCAAGAAATACGGCGTGCAGTACGTGCTGGACTCCATCCGGACGTACTACGGGTGAGCGAGGGGTTGGGCGCTTTGGGTTCTCCAGCCTCCACGGGGCAGCAGAGGCAGGTGTAGGATCTTGAACCCACCGTAGCCCCAAGCCCGTCCCTAGTTCCTGCTCAGCACCTAACACACCACGCAACCCATCCACTTCAAAAATCATAGTTTTGGGATTTGGGATCCTGCTGGCCCCAGGTGACAGTCCCAAGAGCCTGGAAGGAGGGACCTGAGGAAGGGGTGGGTGGCTGTGCCCATGCCCAGCGCCAGTGTGTCTCGCCCCCAGCACCCCCAAGGAGAAGCCCACGGCGTCCGACAACGTCAAGACGGTGCAGACATCCCTCTTCAGCCTGGTGAAGGACTTCTTCTGCAGGAGCTTCTCCGCGGAGGAGATGCAGAGCTTGCTGAGCTACGTGGTCGCAGCGCAGGACGAGCAGCAGGTACAGCACCCCGCCAAGCCCGTGGGTTCTCTTGGCCAGGCAGGAGGGGATTAAAACCCCAACCGGCAGGGCAGGCAGAGAACCGACAGGCTCACTGCACAGCTGGGCCAGAGCCACCTCTCCAGCCCCCCAGCAGCGAGAGCCGGCCAGCTTCTCCGCGGAGGAGATGCAGAGCTTGCTGAGCTACGTGGTCGCAGCGCAGGACGAGCAGCAGGTACAGCACCCCGCCAAGCCCGTGGGTTCTCTTGGCCAGGCAGGAGGGGATTAAAACCCCAACCGGCAGGGCAGGCAGAGAACCGACAGGCTCACTGCACAGCTGGGCCAGAGCCACCTCTCCAGCCCCACAGCAGCGTGAGCTGCGCTCGAGCCTGTTGGACCAAAGCAGCCGAGATGCCAGGCTGGCACCGTGTGGTCATGCCCTGGCCGCTGTCCCGGTGTGCGGAGGAGATCTGCAGCCGGCCCCGTTGCCCACAGGTGTGCGGCGCCCTGGAGGTGATCCACAGCCTGCTGAAGGGCTCGCCGGCCCAGGAGCAGCTCTTCGCCTTCCTCTTCGAGCCGGGCAACGTGGAGGTCCTCTTCTCGCTGCTGGTGCAGAAGAAGTTCTCGGATGAAGTGCGAGAAAGGGTCTTCAAGGTGAGCCGGGGCCCCGTGGCAGCCGGGGGCTCCACGCTGGTGGGATTTCACGCTGTTCCACCCTTCTGCACCTCTACAGATCCTCTACAAGATGCTCAAGTACGAGAAGGTCCCCGAGCGCAGCAAGAACCGCCTGAAGCTGAAGGACATCGGCTACCAGGGGCTCATCGCCTACCTCAGTGACGTCCCCAGCTCCGTGCTGCTCTTCCGCTGCCTCTCAGAGCAGGTCCTTGGCGCAGGTACCACATACTGCAGCAAACACCCTGTTTCTAGCCCCCCTGCACCATCCATGGTGGGGTGGTCGCTGTGGGTCCACACTTGCAGCTGCTGAAAATGCTCAGGCAATCTTAGGGCTGGTGCTGGGTCTTTGTGGTGGCTTTTGGAGGACAGGAGGACCCACCACCGCGCTCTGTTCTCACCCACAGATCCCCCCAACTACAAGGACCTGGTGGCCGTGGTTTACCTGTCCCACCGCGCCGAGCTGACCGTCCGGCTCGATATCTGCCGTAAGGTGAGCGGAGCCCATGGGTGCCAGGCAGGCGCCTGCCATCCCTCAGAGGGTCCCTTGTCCCCAAGGGGCTGCCTCGATGACGTTGGCTGCTTTCTCTCTCCCAGCTCTTCCACTTGATCTACTCCCAGCACGACATGGTGAAGCAGCTGGCAAAGCTGGCGGGCTGGCAGGACACGCTCACCAAGCTCTACGTCAAGGAGTCCTACGAGTCCCGCCAGCACACCTCCCCTTTATGGCGTCTACCAGCCGCTCTCGCCCTTCTCCACCTCTCCGTTCGACCTGGGGCTGGACCTGGCCAGCACCAGCTCCATTGCCACGGCGGAGAGCGGGAACCGGACCCCGGCCAGCGGCCCCGGCACCCCATCCCCTCTGGAGACCTTCAAGCCCTTTCCGGGGCTGCGAGCTCGCAAGAGCTCGAGTCTCTCCAATGTCCTTGATGAAAGCAGCTACCAGGACACACTGCCTTGTGACAACATCTCCAACACCAGTAACCCCCAGGTAAGTAACCCCCATGGGGCGGCCCAAAATGTCCCACCAGGACCTGGAGATCTGCTCCCCACCATGTCAACGGCCAAGCTCGGTCTTGGCACCTTGGCTTCACTCTCTCTTTGCCGTCAGCAAATGCCCGAGGAGGAGCTGTGCAACCTGCTGACCAACATCATCTTCTCGGTGACGTGGCGCGGGGTGGAGGGCTGGGACGACGCGGCCTGGAAGGAGCGCGGCCAGGTCTTCTCGGTGCTCACCAAGCTGGGCACAGCCTGTGAGCTGGTGCGGCCCCCTGACGAGATCAAGCGCAGGTGAGCGGCCACCAGGCGCCATCCCACACCACCAGCCAGGGGGACGATGCTGCTCCCTGTAGGAAGAGCTGGATGGGGGTGAGGAAGGAGACAGAGTCCCCTTGGCCTGGGCCATGGTGATGGGCCTCCGGCTCTCTGACAAGGTGACCATGAGGCAGCAGTGTGCCCTCGTGGCCAAGAAGGCCAATGGGATCCTGGGGTGCATTAAGAAGAGCGCCTCCAGCAGGTCGAAGGAGGGGATCCTGCCCCTCTACTCAGCCCTGGTGAGGCCACATCTGGAGTATTGTGTCCAGTTCTGGGCCCCACAGGACAAGAGGGATGTGGAGCTGCTGGAGAGAGTCCAGCGCAGGGCCACAAGGATGATCAGGGGCCTGGAACATCTGCCCTATGAGGAGAGGCTGAGGGAGCTGGGCCTGTTCAGCCTGGAGAAGAGAAGGCTGAGAGGGGACCTGAGCAGTGTCTAGAAGTACCTCAAGGGAGGCAGTGAGGAGGATGGTGCTGGCCTCTTTTCACTGGTGGCCACTGACAGAACTAGAGGAAATGGCCACAAACTGAAGCACCAAAAGTTCCACAGGAACTTAAGGAAAAATTTCTTGCCAGTGAGGGTGCCAGAGCACTGGAACAGGCTGCCCAGAGAGGTTGTGGAGTCTCCTTCTCTGGAGATCTTCAAAACCCGCTTGGACGCAGTCCTGTGCCACGTGCTCTAGGTGACCCTGCGTGTGCAGGGGGGTTGGACTAGATGATCTCTAGAGGTCCCTTCCAACCTTAAGCATTCTATGATTCTATGATTCTCCCCCAGCCTCCTGGAGATGATGCTGGAGTCGGCGTTCACGGACCTGAAGGAATCGTCGCCGGCCGCCCTGCCCAGCCTCACCCAGAACGCCCTCAAGCTGCTGCGGCTGCTCCAGGACTTCTTGTTCTCCGAGGGACACAACAACCAGGCCCTGTGGAGCGAGAAGGTGACCCAGCCCAGGACGTGGTCCTATCTCTGACCATAACCCAGAACTCTAAGCCTAACCCTAAACGTAACCCTAAACCCATAATGTTAAGCCCTAACCTAAACCCCAACTCTAAACCCTATTCCTACTCCTGAACTCCAGACCCTAAACCCAAGCTAATCCTAAATCCTACCTCTTAAACCTAAATCTAAACCCTAACCCCAACCCTGAGGTCTAACTCTAAACCCTAAGCCCTAACCCCAACACAAATTTTAACTCCTAACCTGAACCCTAACCCTAAATCCTAACCCTAACCTGCTCCAAGCAAAACAGGGCTCCTGGCTGCTGGAGGAGGCCAGTGGGCGATTGGGAGAGGCCCGCACCTACCTGTGGTGGCCAGGGGCTCATCCTGCCCGTCCCTGTGTCCCCTCCAGATCTACGAGGGGGTGAGCAGCCTGCTGGACAAGCTGGGTGTGTGGTACCACCTGGCCAACGGCACCTCCGACCTCAAGGAGATGGCCCAGACGGGCCTGCGCATCCTCGTGGGCTACATCATGCTGCAGGACCCTCAGGTGCGCCATGCAGGGACGCAGCGGGGACACCGGGTGGCATTGGCGGTCCCGTGCTGACACCTTGCTCGTGTCCCCTGCCCAGCTGCACTCGCTGGCCTACGTGAAGCTGCACAGCCTGCTGCAGACGGCCTCGGCGCCGCGCAAGGACGTGGCCTGCTACCTCCTGGGCAAGCTGGAGACCCCGCTGCGGCGCTCGCTGGACGCCAAGTCGGAGGTCTTCTCCTGGCTGGTGCCCATCATCCGCACGCTCATGGACCAGTGCTACGAGAGCCTGCAGCTGCAGCACTTCTTGCCCTCGCTGCCCCCCACCAACGGCAGCCCCACTTTCTACGAGGACTTCCAGCTCTTCTGCGCGACCGCCGAGTGGAGGGGCTTCATCGAGAAGCACGTGGGGGCCCCGGGGACGCTGGGGAAGGGGTGTCACGGGCGCCTCGCTGAACGCCCCGGGGGAACC